TTTGAAATCAATCAGAGTTCTGGGTAGCTTTGGGTTCACTGGAGGAACACATTTAGATTTTTTTTCTCTTCGAGGCCCCAAACAAACATTGCTCTATGAAACTGAGGCCTCCATCTCCAGGGAGTAGGAAAAGCCGCGGCACATCGGTGAGCTGCTAGGGGCAGAAACAGCGGGAGCAGCAGCGCAGCATCAGGCCTGTGCCAAGCTGGCCAGGCGTCTGACTTCCGGAACATCCTCATCTGGGTACCAGCTGTCTAGAGAGCACAGCATCTCCCAATAGGCTCTGGGCAGGGGCGGAGCCCCCATGGAGCGCGTGCACCACCATCTTAGTTCCTGGACTCCCGGGTTGCCCTTTTTCCGGTTAATTGGACGATCCTTGAACAGGAGGGGCGTGGCTCAGTGGGTAGAAGCTGAAGGAACTGAAAGGCGGGAGCGTCATCTTTACTCCTGGCGTCACCCTCAAGCTGCCCTTCCCTCTGAGGATTGGACGATCCCGTTGGCTGTGGAGGAAGGGGCTTCGCTCAGCGGCTAGAAACCGAATGAGCTAACAGCAAGGCCAGGACGCCGTTTTTATTCCTGGCATCAACCTCACGATGCCCTTCCTTGTAGTGATTGGGTGACCCTGGAGACGTGCGCATGTCCGTTTAGCTTTCTGCTTTGTGACCTAGCTGGCATCTTGATTCCCAGGCCGTTGTCTCCCTGGTCAATCGGCGAGACTTGCTTGGAAAGAGTAACCTGCCGTTAAAATGGCGCTGAAAGAAACCCGAAGCCGCCTGATAGTGCATGAGAAGGATCTTGAGAGGGTCTTCAAGGATGCGCTATGGTCGCTCAGGGAGAAACGAGGGGAACTCCTCGTAGGAAAAGAGATCAGCTGCAAGAAAAGCGAGGGACCTCTGTATCTGGACCCAGACGGGGAGCGGGAGGCGCACGTGGCGGGACCAGAGGCAAAACCCTGGAGGGTGTTGGCATGGGATGGAGGGGCCCTGAGCTCTAGGCTAGGGATTTAGGGCTCGATCCTGCAGACGAGGGCGTGAGTGAGCACTGGAGGGATTGCCACGGGGTGGCAGGATACCCGTGTTTTCCCAAGTGTATTCATTGAAAACTTGGTTTTGAACAGAGTCCTGGTCTCCCCGGACCTGAAATTCAACTCTCTGGTTTTTGGGTCAGGAAACTTCTATTAGGGAAAAATGATTTTTTTAAGTTAACACACTATGAGAAAAAAAAAGTACAAGTGCTAAAAACACAATTTTGAGATTTTTAAAGTTAAACACTCGTGCAGCCACTGGTGAGATGGACACACAGCATGACCAGTAGCTCAGAAGTCCCCTCCACCTTGCAGCCACACCGCCTGCATGGAGGGGAAGCACAATTGATCCTTTTTTTTTTTTTTTTTTAACTTGTGCTTCCTCATATGTGAGCTGGTGCACGTGCCAGTGTATGTGCAAGCAAGAGGTTGACTATAAAGGCCAGAGGATGCCGGGTGTGGTGGTGCACGCCTTTAGTCCCAGCAGGTGGATCTTTAGCCTGGTTTACATAGTGAGTTCCAGGCCAGCTCTGTCTACAGGGTGACCCTGTCTCAAAAGACCAAAAAAAAAAAAAAGGTTGACTTGGGTGTCTTCATTGATTGCTCTCCATCTGATTTTTTGAGACCGAGTCTTTCACTAAACCTGGAGCTCATCAGATAAACTAAGCTAGCTGGTCACTGAACTCCGGGGAATGAGCGGTTCACATTCTGAGGACTGGGATTATAGGCAGGCCACTGCACTCACTGCACATTTACGTGGGTGCTGGGGATTCAAACACCAGTCTTCTCCATGAGCACTCACCGAGCCACCTCTCCAGCCCCACAATTGTGAATTTTATATAAGTAAAATCATAGAATAGGCTTTTTGTGTCCATTTACTTCATTTAGTTTTATGTGTGAGATTAGTCATGTTGTTCCATGTGATTGCTGTAGACTTCATTGCTGCAGGCTACCACAGTCACCCACTCTAGTTCATGGGCCTCTATAGTTTCCAGTTTTGGGGAAAAATGCTGATATGGCCATTTTTGACCATGTCTTTTGCTTTGAAAACTATAATGCAAACTAGGGAAGGCTAAATGCTAAATCATTTACTACCCATCTATTGAGCCCTTTATCAGACACTCTGCTAAGATCAGGAGATAAAACAGAAAAGACCCAGCTAAGCTCTAAGGTCCTGCCCTTGAGAAACTTACTCTAATTGGCATAAAACTACAACAACCTAAGTGGACCAAAAAAAAAAAAAAAGTCAAACAATTGATAATTGATAACTTTTGAGAACAGAAGCTAAGTTACTCAAGGAGGATGAGAGCTAACTTTTATGTATTTTTTTGGTAGTTATGAGACAGGGTCTCCCTTTAGCCCCAGCTGGCCTGGAACTTGCTATGTAGACCAGGCTAGATGAACTCACAGAGATCTGCCTGCCTCTGCCTCCCGAGTGAAGAGCTAACTTTTTAAAAGATGTGGTAACCAGTTGCCTCTGAGAAGAAATGTCTAGGGAAAAATATGGAAGTTGAGTTGGCATTGCCATACAATGCATATGAACAGAAAAAAAGAGAATTCCTGGCAGGGGGGAAACCATGAAGAAGGCTCAGAGAGCAGGAGAAAGCGTGTCCCCTTTGAGACCAGTGTGGACGCATAAGGTGTGTTTGAATATAGGAGAATATGGAGCTGGAAAGATGGCTCAGTGGTTAAAAGCACTAGTTGCTCTTGCAGAGTACCTGGGTTCAGTTCCCAGCACCCACATGCAGCTAACAACCATCTGTAACTCCAGTTCCAGGGGAATCCGATGCCCTTCTGACCTCTGCAGGCATTGCATGGCACAGGTGCACTTACGTACATGCAGGCAATACGATTACTCATGCATGTAAAATAAAAGTATTTTTAAAAAAGAGTATGATCCAAGATGAGAGTAAATTTAGATCTTCTAAGTATCAGGGAAAACAATGCTATTTTAAACAGGAAGTGGTACGATCTGATGTAGTTCTTTAGTAAACCCTTCTCATTGGTGACCAGAAAATAAATAAAGCAAGCAAGTCACAGAGGTGGTTGCTCAAGTTCCAGGGGGGATGTGATGTGCTGCCATTGAACTGAAATGTAAAGGACTGAATTGTATTTGGTGTTGTCCACACAAACTTTGCATGTCAACTGATGCATCATTTTGGAGCCTGTGTGTTCCGTGATACACTATAGTTAGGATTTCTACCAAAAATGCAGTCTGAATGTAATCATGAGGGAAAAAAATTGGCATCAAGAATGACCCAGAAGTCATTAACAGATTTTAAAATAGATACCTGAGGCAGGGCTGGTGCTAAGCAGGCTGAGGCGGGAAGATCCAAAGTTCAAGTCCAGTGAGGTACAGAGGTAGTTTCATGCCAGCCTGGGCAATTTAGGAAGACTCTAATTTAAAATTAAAAAAGAATAGAAGGAGAAGGAGGAAGAAGAACCAGCATCTGGGAATGTAGCTAGGTAGTAAACCATTCATCTAGTATGTGTGAAGCCCTGAGTTCAATTTCTAATATCACAGAAAGAAAAAAGGGATTGAGTTCTAGGAACTAAATGCAACTTACAATCCTTCCTTAAACTAGGAAAAATAATTTCAGAATAATAATGCTGGGCATGGTGGGATATGTCTGTAATCACAGGACACAGGAGATGGAGGCAGGAAGATTGGAGGTTTTAGACCAGCCTGGATTATATGAGACCGTCTCAGAAAAACAGTATAGGCACCAGTGAGACAGTCTAGAGGGTAAAGGCTCGCTGCCATGCCTGATGATCAATCTGGCAGAACCCACATATTAAGACAACTGACTCCCACAAATTGTCCTCTGATCACATGTGTGCTATGGCACTGGTGCCCAAACAGAAACACACACAAATAAACGTAAAACAACAAAAAAGTGTAAAGAAAAATGTTAAATTTCTTCCCAAATGTTTCAAATGATGGGAGACTCCTAAAACAAGTATTTTTAAAAAAATATTTTATTTTTATTTTATGTGTATGAGTGTATTGCCTGCATGTATGTGAGTGCACCCGGTCGTGCAATGTCGTGGAGGTCGGAAGAGGGCTTCGGATTCCCCTGGAACTGGAGTTAAGGACGGTTCGTAGCCACTATGTGGGTGCCAGGAATCAAACCCGGGTCCTCTGCAAGAGCAGTCAGTACTCTTAAGTGCTGAGCCATCTCTCCAGCTCTTTTTAAAAAAAATAATTCTTATTTAAGACTGGGTCTCGTTATGTAGCCCTGGCTGGCCTGAAACTTGCTATGTAGAGCAGGCTGAACTTGAAATCACAGAAATCCACCCGTCTCTGCCTCCGGGAGTGCTGGGATTAACGGTGTGGGCCATCAGCCCAGCTGTATTCTATATCCTACAGGAAGCTAGAATGTGAAAGGAAGCTGGGGTGCAGACAATTTTAAGACACAGCCTGTCCTTTCTTTTCCCTAAAATTCTTAGACGTGACCTTCTAGCAATTTTCCTATCCAAAAGGTGGCCCAACCCTCAGCAGTTAGGAGACTGCTGCTAGTTAAAGATTACCTTGGACTAAATACTGAGTGTCGGAAAGCCAGCCAGGGTTACACAGACACCATGTCTCAAAAATCAAACAGGGGGACTGGAGAGGTGGCCCAGTGGTTAAGAGCACTGGCTGTTCTTGAAGAGGACCTGGGTTCAGTTCCCAGCACCCACATGGCAGCTAACAACCACTCATGATTCCAGTTCCAGGGGATCTGACGCCCTCTTCTGGCCTCTGTGGGCATCGCATGTATGTGGTGCACTTACATTCTGACATAACATACACATAAAATAAAAATAAGTAAATAAAATTTAAAGTAAAGCAAAAAAAAAAAAATCTGAAAAACCGAGGACTGCAACTTCACATCATGCCTTAGACTAAACAGCAGCTCAGATCGATCCCACACAGCCCAGCTTTTTACCATCGAGTATGCGTAAACGCGCTCGTTCGCCTCAACCAATCGGTGGTCACGTCGGCGTCTCGCGGACGTCAGGGGCGGGAATTCCGTCTACACATGCGCAAGGCGGGGCGGGCCTTCTTCCTTCTCGCCCTACACCGCCGACATGGTGAGTGTGTACGCTGGGGGCTCCGAGCGGAGCCTCAGGGCCGCTGCTCCTCCACTCCGGTGTGAGAGCCCCGGCGCGGGCTGGTCCCGGGCAGCGCGTGGGGAGACGCCGCCGGCGGGGCTCGGGGCCTTGGGGAGCGCGCGCCGCGGTCGCATGTAGGGCCCGGCCAGGTGCCTGGGCCATGCGTGCGCGCTGCCGGGAGGCGGATGGCCGGGCGCTGCTTCCCATGCCGATTTCGCGCCGGAGCCAGATCCCAGAAGCCGACTTCTTATTCTGGAAAAAGTGACTTGGGAGCGAGAATAGTTATTGAACGAGTTTATTATGTACATATTTAAAATGTGAGACTGGAAAGCGGGAGACTTGCCAGATGCTAAAACCGCAGCACTTCCGTGGTGGGAGAGTGGCCACGGGGATATTTCAAGAGTTGAAAATGCCAGTGACTAAACGTAAATCGTTCTGAAACGGCCTACGTTGTTGTAAGCCCTAGCCCTGCAGAATAAAGTGTTTCAAACTAACTTGGCTATTTTTTCTCCCCCATTTTAGGTGTTCAGGCGCTTCGTGGAGATTGGCCGGGTGGCCTACGTCTCCTTTGGGCCTCATGCTGGAAAGCTGGTCGCGATTGTAGATGTTATTGATCAGAACAGGGTATGTGGTTTTTAATGTTGTCTTACCGTACCATGGACCATATCCACAGCCACAGTGGCCCTCTGGTTCAGTGATGCAGGTGACAGCTTTAACTTTCAGGAAACACTGTGGGCATAAGGTTTGCAGCACAGACCAGGCTTAGTTATTATTAGCTACATTATAATCTCACAGGTAAAATAGGATTTTTAGTCACCCACCAAAACAGGTTATTTAAATGAGTTACTGTATCTAAAAGTAATTTAGAGGGGCCGGAGATGTAGGTCAGTTTGTAGAGTGCCTGATGATCTCAAGACCCTGCGTTTAATTCCTAGGCACTGCATAAAATTAGGTGTGGTGTGCATGTTTGCAGTCTCAGCACTTGGGAGGTAGAAGTAGGAGGAGGTTCAGGAGACCAGCCTGGGCTACATGAAACCCCATCTTAAACAGCATTTGAGCTTATAGTAGATCAAGTATACAGAACATTTTAAATCGTGGTGAGTTTGGTCCTGAAAAGACAGATACTTGGCCATCTTCAATTTTGTGTTCTACGCTGAGCTTGATTCCTGTGTTCTAGGCTTTGGTTGATGGACCTTGCACTCGAGTGAGGAGGCAGGCCATGCCTTTCAAATGCATGCAGCTCACCGACTTCATCCTCAAGTTCCCACACAGGTAATGTGGACCAGTCCTCCTTTGGTATCTGGCTTGTGCCACTCTGTTGTCTTCCCCCTTGATAGTGTGTAAACAATTCATAAGGTTCAGAGCCTTTCCAGAGGAGGGGTTCACATTCTCTTCCACCATGGAAGTTGTCTGGCTCACCCATACTTGCTGTTCTCCTTTTTTCTGGTGTCCCTTTTACCTACTACTACTGCTGTTTGACAAGACTGGGAATTGGACCTGTGGCTTCATTAGGCAAGCACTCACCATTGAGCAACACAACCACCTGGTTTGCCTTGGTTTCTTTAGTTGGGGACAGTGTGTTTGGGGACAGATTTTTACTGCCTAGCCCAAATCCCCTCAAACTCTTAAGTCCTCCTGCTTCGACCTCCCTCCTGGGATTCCAGGTGTGTACTACCACACCCTGCTTTGAAATATACAAATATGTTGGCTCCAGTGTCATTTGTTGACTTTGTATCAGTTACAAAGCATTTAGCTTAAGAGCCTGTGCTCCCAGTTTATGTACAGAAAATTGAGGCAACAGGAAGCTTTTCTTTTTGGTCTTTTTGAGATGGTCTCCCTGTAGCCGCAGCTGGTCTGGAACTCACTATGTAGACCAGCCTGACCTCTCACAGAGATGGACCTGTGTCTGCCTCCTGAGTGCTGGGTTTAAAGGCATGCACCACCTCACCCCGTGCAGCTGTCTTTTTTTTAAACATGGAAATTAAAAGCAGTGCCATGTGTTGCTGTGCAGTTGGCTCAGTCAACAGTGACATCAGGCTGTGATGAGACACCATTACCTGCCATCACAGATCTAAGCCATAGTTGCGGAGACCTGTGTAGGGATAGTTAGGTTCTATATTTGGGTTATCTCCCCACTTGTGAAAGCAAAAGTAGACCAGAAACTTGCTTATTCCAAAAAAGAATGGCTTTTTGCACATCTATTTACTCAGTGGTATCAGATGTGTTTAGAGGTGATTTTTAATTCACAAAATGGACTATGTAGCAGCTCTTTAAAATAGTGCTTGAACCATTTGTGGTGGCGTACACTTTTAGTCTCTGCAGAAACAGGCAGATCTGTATGATCAAGGCCAGCCTGGTTTACTCAGTGAGTTCCAGGCCAGCTGAAGCTACAGGATGGCTTAGAACAGCAACAACAAAAATAAATAGTGCTTGAACTTACTGTTTCTCTGAACATCTTCCATTAGGTAGATCTAGTGTGCTTCTGTGCTATGAAGACAACTCAAGATTGACATGAGCAAGGAGGGGGCCTTTTCAGAGGCAAGGTTCTGGTCTTGGGTGTGTGTGACTGCAAAGCTGATTTCTTAAGTGGCTTTGGTTCTTTCCAGTGCCCGCCAGAAGTATGTACGAAAAGCCTGGGAGAAGGCAGACATCAATACAAAATGGGCAGCCACAAGATGGGCCAAGAAGATTGAAGCCAGGGAACGGGTAATGGCATGAAGCTATCTGAACTCTCATGTTGGGGGGATGTTGGTAGGTGGTGTGAGAGATCATTTTGTTTTCTTTTTAACAGAAAGCCAAGATGACGGATTTTGATCGTTTCAAAGTGATGAAGGCAAAGAAAATGGTAAGTTTTGAGATTTATGTTCTTTAACTAGGTAATAAGGAATTGTTATATGGGGCCAGCAAGATGGCTCAGCAGGTAACCTGCACTTGCTGCCCAGGCCTGATATCTGAGTTTGGATCTTCAAAATGTTCAAGACTTAGTTGAGAAGAGGAAGCTGTTTGGTGCATGCCTGTGTGTGAATGGTTTCCTGGGTTGGTATTTTTCAGAGGAACAGAATAATCAAGAATGAAGTAAAGAAACTTCAGAGAGCGGCTATCCTGAAAGCTTCTCCCAAGAAAGCGCCTGTTGCCAAGGCTGCCATTGCAGCTGCTGCTGCAGCAGCGGCTGCTGCTAAAGCTAAAGTTCCGGCTAAGAAGGCAACAGGGCCTGGCAAAAAGGCTGAGGGGCAGAAGGCTGCAGGCCAGAAAGCCCCTGCCCAGAAGGCAGCGCCTCCTGCCAAAGGTCAGAAGGCTCAGAAGGCTCCAGCCCAGAAAGCTCCAGCTTCCAAGGCAGCTGGCAAGAAAGCATGAGCGACTTTCGAAGAATAAAGATTCTGTTTGACTATTCTCAGTTCTCTTAATGTGTGAACTTAAGAGGTACAGTAGGAGACAATTGATGGGGTGTAGCAGGATTGGTCACTACCCATGCTGCTCATCTTTCAGAACGTAGCATCAGCAGTGGGACCTTCCCTTGTGCAAACAAGGAAAGCTGTGAATAGGCTGATGCACAGTCTGGTACTTTGTTTTTAAAATTGTACACAGTGGTTCAGTGCATACCTGGCATGTGTACAGGCTTAGTTGATGCTCCAACACTGAAAAGGTATTCTGTAGAAAAGACCAGCTTAAATATATTGGTTAGAGTTTCTCTTTCCCTTTGTCACAAAATTTTGATGATTTTTGGACTGTAAAGGAAACTGAGTAGAAGTAGTTCTGTGAAGCTGTTGTGCATTATAGAAACTTGGGGAAATATTCATAGTGAGACTCATTTCTAGTCAGCTGGCTTCTAAGTTTACTGAGAACAAAGCATGCCATCCCTTACCCTCAAAGCTGGGCCCCCAGCTGTTGCTGCTTGGCATATGTGTGTACCAAGTTTGTCAGCTCTGATGCTTGAGCATGAGGACATTTGGGGTTTGGTTATGTGGTCCCAGGAGTGTAGCCAGTTCTGGTGAGGTTGGGACAGGGTCTTCACTGAGAGGAGCATAGCAGATGGGGTTTGGAGATCATCCAAGCCATGGGAAGCTGGCAGGAAGTTAAGTATGCCAGAAGGCTGCTGGTTTTGAAGAGAAGTTTAGCCCTTGTCAAAAAAGATGGAGTGGGGTCCAACTAGAGGAGCGGACACAAAATGTTCTTTATGAGAGAAAAAGAGAATAGTAAAATTTGCCCCAGGAAACTGAAGACCTTTACTTTTATTTCAGACTGGAATTTACATGGTCACACTGAGGTAAGGGTTGGTATGGAATACCACACAGTGCAAATTTGAGATGACTTGGAGGAGGGGAGGGCTTCCATCGCCAGCTTTGTGGGCTCTAGCTTTGCTCCTTGAGGTGCTTGGATGGGATCATCCTTAGGATTTAGGCTGCTCCTAGCAAATGGAGCCTTAAAGGAAGAGCTTAAGGCCCCTGGAGTGGAACAGGATTAGGAGGTGGGCCCTGCATGTGGTTATTTTACCTAAGACAGGTCTAGTCATACTGCAGGGTGGGAAAGAAGATGGAGAGCTTTAAATGTCCAGGCTAGGAGAGGTCCATTTATAGTATGGAGAATACACAGTTGGCCAGCTACTGTCAGATGTACTCAGGGTCATACCCCTCCTTAAATCCTCATAACCCTCGCCAGGTCACTGAGTAATGTTCATACATGTTGCAGTGTCTCTAGGGTTCAGGCCTATAATTTTAAGACTTCAGTTAAAGGGGCTGAGAGGGTGGCTCAGCAGTTTAGGGCGCTGACTGCTCTTGAAGAGGACCCAGGTTCGATTCCCAGCACCCACATGGAAGCTATGAACTGTCCTTAACTCCAGTTCCAGGGAAATCCAAAGCCCTCTTCTGACCTCCACAGCACTGTACGACATGGGTGCACACACATGCAAACAATACACTCATACACATAAAATATTAAAAACCAGTACTGACTCTAATTGAATCCATTCTGTGATTCTCCAGTCCTCAGCAGCCACATGATTGTTCTAGAACATACCACACAGAATTGAGTAGAAAATTGACCACACACCTGACTGGTTGCTTCCCTTGCCTCTTCCCCCAGGCACACTCCCTAGAGTCTTCAGGCTAGGGAAACCATCTGCTGGGAGGATCCCTAACACTTCCAGGGTAGAAATCTGGCTAGTTCGAATAAAGTCCTTCTGTGAAGGGTTGTGGGACCTGGAATCTCAAGAGAAGAACCCTACCCACATCATTCCTGGATTCCTGATCCACAGACCTAGGAAATGTGCTGCCTTCAGCCAAGTTTTGATTTTTTCAGGAAGGAGCAGATTCCTTCTCAGGTTCCTCCTCCTACCTTCTCTCCCTGTCTTCCTGCAGGGCTGGGGATGAGGAATAGCCAGGCACCAGATCCCTGCAACAGCAACAAACCTAGGTACCTGGGGTGGCTCTTCTGCGGCTTGTGGGAGGGGCCAACTCTTCACTGCACCAAGATGCTGGTGGGAGGAGCCAAGCACCCGAAACCTAGTTCAGTAGGACAGGGTCTAGAAAGCGGCTCTTGCGTCCTGGAGGAAAGCTGCTGGGGATGAGTGATTTCAGAAGCGAAGTGTTCGGTGATTGGTTGCTGTGTGCTGTCAGGCCGTTGTGATTGGCTGGCTTCGGGTTGTATTTATGACTACTTCATGTTCAGAACCTATGTGTGCCCGCCTGAAGTTTTGTACATTCATTGCAAACACTTATTTGGAACTTACGACTTCAGTCAAAGAACAACTTTTCCTTTGTAAGACGGGGGTGGGTGGGGTGGGGGGGGTGTCTCGCTTTGTTGCCCTGGCTGGCCTCGAACTCCTGAGCTCAAGCCAAGTTTCCTGCCTCAGCGTCCAGCACCCATGAGACAGGGCTCTCCCCACCACACCTGCCTTCTCCTTTCCTGGGCATAAAAAGTAAGGCATTGGTTGGTTTGAGATACAGCCTCAGTGTAGCCCAAGGTGGCTTTGAACTGCCAGGTTTGCACCCCTACGCCCGGCAAGAAGGCTGCCAATCTCACCGTTCCTCTCCTCTTTTCCCTTCTTCCTTCTTCCCATTCTTATTTACAGAGGTATAACTTTTTTTACACAGTGCTACTATTTAAAATTGGTGCCAATTACAGATAAATAGCTGTAGTGATTGTGTAACAAGCACAGAGCTGGGAGGCGGGGAGGGACATGCCAGGGAGCCCCAAGCCGCAGCTGCTCGCCCTGCAGACCGTCCCGCTGCGCACCGGCCTCAATCTCCAACCGGCAGCAATTCTGGCAGTCCCTGTGGGCACGCGCCCCAGGAATCCGCCGCCTTCCTTGGTCAGTGCGAGGTCGGGCTGCCGGGTCACAGAGACGCGGCCTCGGGGCAGCCTAGAGCGTCCCAGGTGCGCTCTCGCTTCCGGGTCAGTAGCTTGGCGGCCCCGGGGCTGGAGAGGAAGAGCGTGGGTTCCAACGATTTTGAGGGTTCCGACGGTTTTGTCGATGGCTTGTGGCAGGGTCGGCGCCCTGTCGCAGGCGTTGGACCTTCCTGCGACTTCAGCCTGCGGTGCGCTGACTCTGATGTGGGGTCCCCAGCTTCCCACGGTGCAACGGGCGCCGTGGGGAACCCGGCCAGCAGCAATCCGAGCATCTTCCCTCTGGTTGCATTCTGTTACGCCTGCCTCTCTGCAGACCCTGGGCTGTCAGTGCCCGCTCCCTGTAAGCATGCTGCAACAACGCCAGTGTGTGGATACGCACCCCGATGGGACGGGGTACCCTGGATCTTCAGCCCCCGCGAGAGAGCCTGTCGGAGGCTCCTGGGACCCAGCAGGCGGGGGGAGGTGCCCTGAGGAGCAGGCCCAGCAGTGCTGGAGGAGGTTGGGGTGTCACCGTGGGAATCGGGGAGCCGGAGGACCACAGGAGGGTGTGGGGATGCAGAGCAGGGTCCACAGCACTTACGGCTGTCCTCTTGGCTTCTAAGGTCCTGTTTGTCCAAGGCCAGAAGACAGTGCAGGAAGCCAGGGATACCAGTCATGCTTCAAACCGCTTGGCCTCAGGTCAGTTGAGCTTCCTTTCAGTCTGTCCTCAGACAAGCTATCCGGTTATCCGAAAAGGCTGAAAAAGGCTCCTTCGGCCAGGCTGTGGTTTTCTCTGCCTCCCATTACCAAGGACTGTGGCCCTTGTAAGCGTGCGGTGGAGGAAGGAAGTTTTGACAATAGTGAGGTTGGCAACCCAGGTGGAAGTGGAAGAAAGTCAGACGTTCTTCCTTGAAGCGTTTGTTTCACCCATTGTGGGTGTGTCCCTGAGAGACCAGCGTTCAGTGTGTGCATCTTTTTTTTTTTTTCTTTCTTTTATTTTTTTGAGACAGGGTCTTCCTGTAGCCCCAGCTGGCCAGGAACTCGCTGTGTAGACCAGGATGGCCTTGAACTCACAGAGATATATCTGCCTCTGCCTCCCGAGAGCTGGGATTAAAGGTGAGTGCCACCACGGCCAGCATGCATCTTCTGCTTTTTTTTTTTTTTTTTCATCTTTTTGAGTCAGGGTCTCCCTGTAGCTAGCCCCAGCTGTCCTGGATTCACTATGTAGACCAGGCTGGCCTTGAACTCATGGACATCTGCCTCTGCCTCTCAAGTGCTGGGATTAAAGGCGTACGCCACCATGCCCAGCCAAAATAGGTATATGAATGAAGCATTTTTTTTTTTTTTGGTCTTTTTGAGACAGGGTCCCCCTGCAGCCCCAGCTGTCCTGGAACTCACTATGTAGACCAGGCTGGCCTTGAACTCACAGAGATCCTCCTGCCTCTGGCTCCCAAGTGCTGGGATTAAAGGTGTGCGCCACCATACCCGGCTGCATCTTCTGCTTTTAAACTTTTATTTTACATTATTGTGTACGTGTACATATAAACTTGCCACAGAGTGCATGGAGGTCAGAAGACAGCTTCCACGTTGGATTCAGGGGATTGACCTCAAGTAGTCAGGCTCTGCAGCAAGCTCCTTTACCCTTGAGCCACCTACCAGTCCCAACGTTTTCCTTTTCTTTCCCTTCCTTCCTCTTCCCTCCCTTTCTCCCTTCTTCCCTCCCCTCCTTCCCCTCTCCCCCTCTCCCCCTTCCTCCCTTCCTTCCTCTCCCCCTTCCTCCTTCCCTTTCCTTCTTTCTCCCTCACTCTCTTCCTTCCAGACAACCTCACTGTATAGCTAGCTATGAGGACCAAGTTGACCTCAAACTCACGGAGATCTTCCTGCCCCTGCCTCCCTGAGTGCTGGGATTAAAAATTGCACAATCATTAGATTGGGCCAAACCAGCATAAGCAGAGCTCCTCAAGAGGAAGAAGGCTAGTATACTCTAGAAACTGGATGAGGTCAGTGAATGTGGTTACAGACAAATGGGAAGGACTGTTTGGGGTAGGAGGAGATTGGTAGTGGTGGACTAGGAAATGTGAGGCTCTGGTGATGGCTGGGAGTGAGGCTGGCTGGGCTGTAGTGGGGGTGAAAGCTGGTATTACTGTGACCTGTGGGTGCTGTCCACAGGTGCCTGGAGTGTGCTCTGGATTTCTGGCACACACTTGTAGATGCCCATTGGATACCACCTCTGTTGAAAGCTATGTTTCTTGTGGAGGAGTGTCTCCATTTGCTCTCTCTGTCACTGTTTCTCGGTACTGAGTTCTCTAGTTCTTGTTTTGAGAGGATGCTCTGATGGAGTCCCAGCTGTTCAGCCACAAGAGGCAGATGAGCTGTCTCAGTGGCCAGAATATATATTTTCTCCCTCCATCCCAGAGCAGAGTGACAGGTGCATTCCCTTTGTCCTGTACCCCAGGCAGGCCCTAGGACTCAGGCTGCTTTAGGCCCCGTCAGAGCACATTGCGCCATCTGGGAGCACACTGGGGCCTTATAGGTTTCCAAGAGTCCAGCCTGGGGGAAGGGGCCCATGTGATACAAAGGGAGGACCATAAAGAGGGAGTTTGGGAAGCTGTTTTCCAAGGGGAGGCAGGAGCAGGTGAATGTGAGGTTCTGTGCTTAGCCTTCAGTTTGTAAAGGTCTGCGAGGCTCGGATGGGGTACACAGCCCAGGTTTGTTTGACAGATGTGGATTGAAACTCCTACTTCCCTTCCTGGCTTGCTGTGACCTGAAGTGGGGCAGTTTCCTTTTGAACCTTAGAGTATGACTTGAAAATAAGGAATAACAACTCCCTACTGGCATACATGTTGTAGCAGTTAATGAAATGTGAGATTTAAAAACACCACCTAGGAGCTCACAGTGCACCACCTAGTGCACAGAACTTGCTAGTATCAGTTCCCTTTATTCCTGGGAAGATAGAGGGAGGCCAAGAGGAGGCAGAGGGTCACCCCTAGTAGAGAGGACAGCCTTGGTAGGTGGGTAGAACTCAGAAGATGGCAGGGATCTGTGTCACGGGACAGGAAGCCATCAGCCTGTCTCTGAAAACAAAGGATCAAAGCTGGGCTTCTCAATCTTTTTCTGCTTGACTCTTTTTTTCCCCCAAAATCATTCATAAAACATGTCTCACTGAAAACTTTGAGCTAGTCTGGAACTTGCTATATAGACCAGGCTGGCCTTGAACTCATGGAGATCTGCCTCTGCCTCTCAAGTGCTGGGATTAAAGGCGTGTACCACCATACCCAGCCAAAATAGGTATATGAACGAAGCATTTATTGTTTTTTTTTTTTTTTTTTTTTTTTTTTTTTTTTTTTTTTTTTTTGGTCTTTTTGAGACAGGGTCCCCCTGCAGCCCCAGCTGTCCTGGAACTCACTATGTAGACCAGGCTGGCCTTGAACTCACAGCGATCTGCCTACCTCTGCCTCCCAAGTGCTGGGATTAAAGGCGTGCGCCACCATGCCCAGCTAGTGGTGAGGTAATCTTGGAGGAGTTGTGGGAGGGGGAATAGGATCAAAATACATTTATGGAACTCTTGAAGAATTAATAAATTTACAAATTCTGAAGCTGATGAGATGTCTCAGAGATCAAGAGCCCTGGCTACTCTTGCAGAGGATCTGGGTTCGGTTCCTAGCACCCACAGCCATCTGTAACTCCATATTGGGGTCATAGAAAATAAAGCAACAACAGATTTTCTGAATGCACGAGGACCAAAAATTAACTTAAATATGTAACAAGCTGAAGGTGTTCCTGGCAGCACTCACCCCTGTTGCATCCCAGGACTCCGCTGTAGCCTTGGTTAGGAACACATGTGCACTTTGCACTGCATGCTGTCATACCATGCTATGCCACTGAACACTGAAACACCTCAGCTTGGGTTCCAGATTACTGTGTGTTATAGCTGCAGTGTTTTTGCCTGCATCCAGTTCCAGGGGATCTGATGCCCTCTTCTGGCCTCCACAGGCATTATACAATATAGGTGCACTTAACATACATGTAGGCAAAATACTCATACACACAAAAATAAAAATTGAAAATCCTTATACAGTTTCCCCCCAATTTTTAGACTAAGAACAGATACTACACTTGATCTTAGCCAAAAGGCCGTGAAGCGATAACCCCCCAATTAAAAAAAATTCTATTTTTTGTGTTTCATGTGCATCTATGTAAGTGCACCTGTGTTCAGTGCCAGCGGAATCCAGAAGAGGGCTGCATCACATTCTTCAGGAATGAATTACAAACAGTTGTTAGCTATCATGTGGGTGCTGGGAATTGAGTCCAAGTCTTCTTAAAGAGCAGCCAGTGCTCAGCCACCGAGCCATCCCTCCAGTGTGCCCCCCACCCCCAATTTTCGGCTTATATGTAAGTTTACTGTCTATTAAAGATGAAAGGAAATTTACATATTAATGAGATTGATGTGCTTGTTTGTTTTTATATCAAGAATGAAATCTTGGCTGAATATCTGATACATCTGATACTTCAGGACATAGCTCATCTTCAGTGTTTCTCAGAGTTGATTGCTATTTTGATTTTATAATCAGAAATGCTGAGAACACTACAAAATGGCAGCGGTATGTCCAGGACCATTGTAGAAATGTTGGAAATTCTGGCCTTTGAGATGACTCATCAGTAAGGGCACTTGCCACTAAGCTGAGGACTTGAGTTTGATCAGGTTCCACATGGCGGAAGGAGAGAACCAACTCCCGCAAGTTGTGCGAAGATCTTCGTAGAAGTGCGGTGGAGCACATGCACCCATGAACATACACACACATCAAACAATAAATAAATAAATTTTAAATACATTTTGTTTTCATTTTATGTGTATGAGTGTATTGCCTGCATATATGTAAGGGTACCCTGTGTCCTGCAGTGCCTGTGGAGGTCAGGAGAGGATTTCACATCCCCTAGAACTGGAGTTATGGACAGTTGTTAGCTTCCGTATGGGTGTGGGAACCGAACCCAGGTCCCCTGCAAGAGCAGCCAGTACTCTTAACTGCTGAGCCATTTCTTCAACCCCATAAAAAAAGAAAGAAATTCTTGGAAATTCTATCCCAATTGCAAGCCAAAACTCAGTGAATGGTATTTTATGAAACTCAACAACTCAACCAGCAGTTTGTAAAATCAAACGTTCTAACACATTCCAATCCAAAGACACACAGGTTTGATACTAACATGCTGAGGAATGACAGTAAGAAAATATTTGGTTTTCATAATAAAGCCATTCTGTTTGTATGAGCAGAAAACTGTATGTATAGGGAAAACACTGTAGATATAGCATATAGTAATATCCAGTCTGAGCTGAGGTGTTTCAGTGTTTGTTGGCATCACATGGCATGGCAGCATGTACAATGCAAAGTACACACGTGTTCCTAACCAAGGCTGCAGGGAAGTCCTGGGATGCAACATGGCCAAGGGTTGCCAGAAACATCTTGGGTGTGTTAAACCTTGAATTTTTGGTTCTTGTGAATTCAGAAAACTTGGTGTTAATTTTGGATGTGGTCCCCCTCCTCAGTTTTAGAACTGTGGTTCAGAGGAGGCCAGAACATGCATTCTGTATGATTCTTTTAAGAGAATCAGCTTTCTCATAAGACAGGAAAGAACAATTTGAAGAACACTGGCAAGGTTTCGAGGGTTGGTTGCTCTGCTCAGTGGCCAACGCTGGGGAGACAGAAAAGAAGCTAGGGGAGGAAAGAATGGGGCTGTGCTCCTACTCTGTAGATGGATAGAGTCCGGTGAGTGACAGCTAGCTGTAGCAAATTGTGTATAAACCACGTGATAAGGCATGGAGAAACCAAATTGGTACTGACCAGGAAGCTTCCTTCCTGCTGGCTCTCATAGTATTAGAAGGTGCTCTGCAGACTGCTTGGGGGTGAAAAGTCATCAGTCTAACCCAACTCTGAATGCTATAGTCTGCAGTAATGAATGGCAGTGAGGGACTCCAGATTGTATAGGTAGCAAGAGTGCTGGGGCTCTACATTTGAAAGGGGGAACACTGGTGTGAGGTTGGCCCGATTCAGTGCTGACTGCTCTGGCAGACCTTCCATGGGGCTCAGGTTGTGGGCCCTTCCCAGAAGCCCACGGGGCCCTTCCCACACTCACTCAGGCCTGTTGTTTCAGAAATTGGTGACCTTTGAGGATGTGGTCGTGTACTTCACGCAGAATCAGTGGGACAGCCTGCAGCCTGCACAGAAAGCCCTGTACAGGGAGGTGATGCTGGAGAACTATGCCCGTGTGGCTTCCCTGGGTAAAACGCGGGGGAGCCAAGGCATGTCCTCAGGAGTTCTGGGGACTCGGGGTCCTGAGTTTGGATGACCGTGGCAGGGACTAAGGTCACCAGTTGCAGGGTGTGTGTGTGTGTGTATCTGGGTGTATCTGGCCCCCTTGGTTGTCCACCCACACACCCAGAACTCCAGGCAAGGACACTGCTCTGAGTGGAGAGAATCCTCTTGGCATTCCCTGTGAATGCTCTTGCTTTTTCATCCTTCCACCCGTGCTCCATTGGTGCTCCCCTTTGTGGAGGCCCCAGGCAAATAGCACGTGCACCCTTCTTGAGGAAGTTTCCTCTCTTCATGCTCAGGCCCAAGTCACAGTCTCTTCCTGTGGAACCCAGTTTAGAACCCCTCTGTACCACTTGATCTCTGGAATTCCTTTCCTTCCCATTAAGCCTGATGGAGGGTGGGCTGAGAGAGGTCTCAGGAACCCATTGGCTGTCTCCTCAACTTGTCTTTCTTTCCCCCTGGAGCTGTGTGTCCATCCCACAAGCCTGTTCTCATCACCCAGCTGGAGAAAGGTGAAGCTCTGTGGGCCTCAGAGCATCTGAGAGGCAGCAGTCTTGGTGAGTCCCTGTCCTGTTTCTTCTGCTCTGGGGAGGGATGCTCCAGTCATGCTAGAACAGTCCTCAGGTGTGCCACCCCCCCCCAGGGCAGCCCTTGGTGCCCTCTGTGACAGTGACAGTCTTCGGTGCCCCCTGTGACTAGGAAAGGCCTTGGCGCCTCCAGTGACTCTGACAAGAGCAGCCTCGAAGTTTACACTTTCACGTAGTCATTCCCCAAGCTCAAAAGCTGCCACCCGGAGCTCCCAGATGGGTTTCGTTTGCACGGTCCACTTAGAGTTCTTGATTTATGCCTTTATCATTGCAAACAAGTGGAATTCCGGCCACTGTTAAGGAAGATGTGATTCTTTGGGACAGACTGATTTTTAGGCTATCAGCAATGAAGAGTGGCTTTGTCCTTTAAAAGTTCCACTCGTGGGGCCGGAGAGATGACTCAGTGGTTAAAAGCACTGGCTGCTCTTGCAGAGAACCCAGGTTCAGTTCCCAGCACCCAGGTAGCAGCTAACAACTGTCTGTAACACCAGTTCCAGGGGATCAACGCCCTCTTCTGAACTCTGCAGGCATTGCACAACACGGATGCATTGACATACATGCAGGTAATACACTCATACACAGAAAATAAAGAAATAAATAAAATGTATTTTTTAAAAGTTCCCCTCTTCATAGTCTGCATTGTATTTAGATGAGCTAGGACTATCCTTCTGTCATGCTCTTGCACACAAACACACACAGTGACACACACACGTCACTTTGCCCTGTGACCATTCCCAGCCTGGAAAGTTGTTCCCTGGGTTTCCAGTGTTTGTTGTGTGTGCTGGGATCCCGTCATGCATGCTGGGATTGTGTGTAGCATGGCTCCCTTAGCAGCCACATCATCTTGCTCCACAGCTCTCCAGACCAACTCTGTTCAACCGCTTTTGTGAAATACATTAATTAAAAAAAAAAAAAGCATTATGTAGAACATTGAAAAACAAAGCTTTGGGCATCACTTAGAATTTGGGGTCCTTTCCTTCATTGTAGGGAGAAGAGTTGGTCATTTGGGGGTCAGGGGTTGTGTTTGTCAGCCCGTGATAGCTCTTGGAGTGCTGGCCTGCCTCTAGTCAGGCCCTCATTTCTTTTTGCTCTTCTGGGTCTGTGACTGTCCAGCTCTCTGTCTTTTCAGATGGTTTCTGATATTTCTTGCTAACCCCTCTTATGTTGCTCATATCCCCCCCTCCCCCTGCCTGCCTTCTTCCCCACCCTGAGCATCTTATCTCCTTCCCATTTTCCCATTCTGGCCATCCTCCCTGGTAGTTCTGGTGTCTTCTCCACTGTATATCAGTAGGTTTTGTTCTTCTCTTCCATTCTTTTTTCTGATCTTGTAACCATTTCAAAGGTACAACTCTCAGAATCGTCCTGTGAGAGAAATTAGGATTCCTGAGCCCTGTGTTCCTCCAGTCACTAACCAGGACTTTCATTGGTCAGCTGCGGAGCCCTGGGCCAAGGGTGGAGGGCCCAGTTTGAAGCAGGAAGCCCCTGAAGAGACAGAACCACACAGAGTGCCAAGGGGGGTAGGCCTCACCAACGACCCTCAGCACGTCGAGGGCAAGGCAGCCAGGCAGACTTTCAATCCGAACCTGAACATGGTTCTTCGAGGGGGAATGAAGTTCTGTGCCTGTAAAGAATGTGGGAAAATGTTCAGATTCAACTCGAAGCTGCTTCGGTATCGTATGATCCACACAGGGGAGAAGCCCTTCAAACAAGGCAAGGTGTGTGGTAAGGCCTTCAAGTCCAGCTACCACTACAGCATCCCCGAGAAGAACCATAGCCGAGGGGGGCGCTACGAATGCAGGCAGTGTGGGAAAAGTCTGAGTTCCAGCACAGCCCTGACTCAGGCAGGTGATCCACACCCGGGAGAAGCCCTATGCCTGCAGGGAGTGTGGCATGGCCTTCCAGCGCACCCGGCCCTTCCTCCAGCACCGGAGGCTCCACACCCGGGAGAGGCTCTACCGGTGTCAGGAGTGCTGGAAAACCTTCCGGTGCAAGTCGACTTTCATTGTCCATCAGCGGATTCACACCGGGGAGAAACCCTACAGATGCGAGGAGTGTGGCAAAGCCTTCATTCAGAAGATCGCCTCTGTCCAGCACCGGAGAGTTCACTCGGGGGAGAAGCCCCATGAATACAAGGTGTGCAGGAAGTCTTTCTGGTGGTAGAGGAGTTTCGCCCAGCACCGGAAACTGCACCCGGTGGAGAAGCAGCCCCTGAAGAGTCTTGAGCTGACCCAAGGGGACTCCGCAGCCTTCCCTCAGGCTGTAGGCCTGCCAGGCTCTGCTCCAGCCGGGATTGTACCTTCCCCGACCTTCCCACGTGCTGTTCTCATTCTCCCCTCCAGCCCTCTGCTCTCGTTGCTCCCCGCGTTTGTAGCACCTTCTTCACCCGCCCAGGTTGTCCGAGTCTTCCAGGGCCTCCCTCCCACTGTGAAGACTGTCCCAGCTATGGGTTATCGTAATCCCCTCTCGGCCCTCATGAGCTTTGTCTTAGCACTCCTGTTGGTTCTCACAACCAGCAGCTGGCTCCACATAAGCTCCACTTTACTGAAGTCACTTAGACGCTGTTTATATAACTTATTTTTTCTGGTAGAGAACGGAGCTTCGCTTTGGTCCCTTTCTTGTACAACAATGGCTGTATTCCCATTATAGGTCTGCTGGTATAAGAACTGGGAGGTTACTAGAAAGAAGCAGCACTGGGACGAAGGGCGAGATGGCTCTGTGAGTAAAGGTACTTGCCACCAAGCCTCACAACCTGAGTTCAATTCCCAGGACCTGTGTGGTTGGAGGAGAGAATTGACTCCTACACATTTTCCTTTGACATCCATATGGGTGCCCTGGCATGAGTGCACCCCTACACATACACACACACACACACACACACACACACACACACACACACGCACATGCACACACATACACCCCAACGAAAGAATAAATATGATAATATGATTTTAAAATTTAAAGGAGAAGCAAGAGATGCGTAATGCCTGCAGGAGTAGAGATTGGAGTGAGCTTCTAATGATGAATTTTAGAAGTTAATGCAGCTGGGCCTGGAGAGATGGCTCAGCAGTTAAGAGCACTCGCTGCTCTTGCAGAGGACCCAGGTTCAATTCCCAGCACCCATATGGCAGCTAACAACCATCCATAACTCCAGTTCCAGGGGATCTGACACCCTCTTCTGACCTCTTGGGCATTGCATACATGGGTGCACTTACATATATAGAGGAAATACACTCATGCACATAAAATTAATTTTAAAAAGTTGTTAATGCAGCTTAAATTTTTTTCTTAGATTTATTTTTTATTGGTGTGTGTGTGTGTGTGTGTATGTGTGTGTGTGTGTGTGTGTGTATGCTACTCATGTGCAGGGGCTTCTGGAGGCCAGAAGATGTTGGATCCCCTGGAGCTGGAGTTTTGTTGGTTGTGGATGGTTGTGGTAATGACTGTGAGCTGCCCAGCATGGGTACTGGGAACTGAGTTCTGGAAGAGAAGCCAGTGTTCTTAACTGCATCTCTCCAGCCCTTTAAGCAGATTCTTTAGTGCACCAGTGACTCAGAGGGGGATTGGTGCCATTGATGATGTCTGGCCAAGGATCATTGAAAAGCACCCCTCCTGCTCTTAAAGATCATGTACGGATTGATTCTGTGACAACCAGTGTAGACAATCATATCTTAAGCTGTTACACATCTCTAGTTTTGCTCTTTATGTCTGGTTAGTTCTCCTGAGCTTTTGTTACTTAAATATGCAGAAATAAATTGTTCTGTAATATATCTGTTTCTTAGAGAAAAAAAAAATATGGTGTTTTAATTAAAAAAAATATGGGTGGGTTTTAATTTACTATGTAGACCAGACTGGCCTTGAATTCACAGAGATCTGCCTACCTCTGCCTCCCAAGTGCTGGGATTAAAGGTGTACCCACCACACCCAGCTTAATTTAAAAACCTGTGTGCTTGTGAATGAATGTTTGGGTATGCGTGGGGTGGGGGAGGGAGTGCATGTGTATGTGGATGCACATGAATGTGTGCACATACACGTAGAGGCCAGAGGATGACCTCAGGTGTCTTTGTCCACATCCTTTGAGTCATGGTCTTATTGGCCTGGAACTCACCAGTTAGCTTGGACTGGCTGGCTAGCACACCCAGTGGTTCTGAGTCTGCCTCCTCAGCACCAAGGTTACAAGTGCCCAACACTCTGCCTGGCATTTTGATGTGGGCTGTGGGGATCAAACTCCAATCCTCATACAAGGCAAGCATATTACCTACCGTTCGAGCACCTTGCCAGCCCTTTGGTCTTGTCCTTTCAAACTTCTACACTGTGCTCTAACCAGGGAGCATGCACTATGAACATGAATTTGGTGAATTACAACAGAATTAGGAGCAACGATAAAAAGTCAGGTTGGAATCAGCCTGAATAAGCTTAGAAAATTGATTTTTGGAAATGAAGTGACCTATGCCATGAGCCCATAGTTAGGCTCATGTGCATGAATGAAGTGGGATTTGTCTTTGGTTTTCTTTGAGACAATTTTACTATGTATCCCTAGCTGGCCTGGAATTTGTATGTAGACAGACTAACCTTGAACTCAGAGATCCACCTGCTTCTGCCTCTCAAGTGCTGGGATTAAAGGCATGCACCACCATGCCTGGCCTTGGAATTTTGAGTAGCTGCTGGTAACGGCCTTGAAGCAAAACTTGCATCCACGCAGAGGGCTGTGGAAGGAAAGTGATGCCTGAATAGAGAGTGGACATGTGTTTGTTCCTACTAGTGTATGCGCACATCCTGAACATTGGTGGAATGACCCACGCATTGTTTTTTCTCTTGCATGTGCTATCTAGATATTTGTCAGACAATTAGTATTGAAACCTTTACATTGTTGTCTTTAAACTTTACTAGATTTTCTGTGTGCTTGCTGAGAAATGAAAATAGTTTTTTGACCCAATCCCGTGAAATCCTGATGTGGACCACTCTTAGAGAGGCACACAGAAAGCCTATGGACTGCTGGGACACATCTGAAAAATTTTCATCATTATTTTTGATTGATTTGTTTTTATGTGTTTTGCATATATGCAAATACACCCATGTTGTACAGTGCCTGCAGAGGCCAGAGGAGGGCATCAAAATCCCTGAAACTGGAGTTAAGGATGGTTGTTAGCTACCATGTAGGTACCTGGAACTGAGCCTGGGTACTCTAGAAAAGCAATAAGTTCTGTCCTTGAACCCCAATTTTCATTATTTCTATTTTATGTGTATGAGTGTATTGCCTGCATGTAGATAGGTGCATCCATGTCATGCAGTGCTCAAGGAGGTCAGAAGAGGGCATCAGATACCCTGGAACTGTGGTACGAGCAGTTTTTAGCTGTCATGTGTACTGGGAATCAAACCCAGGTCCTCTGCAAGAGCAGCCAGTGCTCTTAACCACTGAACCATCTCTCCAGCCCATTATTTTAAAATTATGTGTGTGGTTATATGTTCATGAGTCTAGGTGTCCATGTAAGTGCACCCATGTTGTGCAATGCCCAAGGAGGTCAGAAGAGGGCATAGGATCTCCTGGAACTGGAGTTACAGATGATTGTTAGCCACCATGTGGGTGTTGAGAACCAAACCTGAGTCCTCTGCAAGATCAGCCAGTGCTCTTAACCACTGAGCCATCTCTCCAGTTCTATAAAGGCACATTTTTATCTTGGAATCACTACGTGATTTGTAGGGTGACAGTGACACTTCAACATTAAGCCAATTTCTTTTTTATTTATTTTTATTTTATGTGTATGAGTTTTATGCCTGCATGTATGTAAGTGCACTTGTGTGGTGTAGCATATGCAGAGGCCAGAAGAGGGCGTCAGATCCCCTGGAACTAGAGTTACTGGACTGTTGTTAGCTGCTGTGTGGGTGCTGGGAACCAAACCTAGGTCCTCTGCAAGGTCAGTGCTCTTAACCACTGAGCCATCTCTCCACCTCAAAGCCAATTTCTTATCAACACTCTTTCATCTGATGATTCTATCTCCATTTGTGACCCTTGTCTAAATCAACCATTGGACATTGCAAAAGTGATTTTCCAATTCTATTTATTTATTTCAGTCACTATTCTTATTTTTATTTTTTACATTTATTTATTTATTTATTTACTTATTTATTGTGTGTGTGAGACCATATGCCATGATGTCATTTGGAGGTCAGAGGACAACTCGTGGGAGTCAGGGCTGCTTGGTTCTGTCTCATGCTTTAACTAATATATAATAGATATATATCATCTTTATCTATAAATTAGGGTCTGTGTATGTGACTCTCCTGTCTCTGCCTCCCATCTCAGAGTAGGGACCCTGGAATTACACATGTGCAGTACTGTATCTGGCTTTACATGGGTTCTGGAAATTCAACTCTGGCTGTCAGGATTGTATGACAAGTTATTTTTCCTGTGGCGTTATCTTGATGGTCCCTGTAAGTGCTTTTGAAAAAAAATAATTTTAATTGTGTGCATGTGCATGTTTGTGAGTGCCGGGAATGGAACTCTGGTCCTCTTAGCTGCTGAGCCATCTCTTCAGCTTCCCAAATAAGTGCTTTCGTGGAAGACATTTTGGATCTATGTTAGTATCCTGTTCTTCACCAAATTTTCTTCTGTTCTCCGAAGCATCACCCTAATTTTTTTTTTTTTTTTTTTTTTTTTTTTTTTTTGTCTTTTTGAGACAGGGTCTCCCTGTAGCCCCAGCTGTCCTGGAACTCACTATGTAGACCAGGCTGGCCTTGAACTCACAGAGATGTGCTTGCCTCTGCCTTCTGAGTGCTGGGATTAAAGGCATGCGCCACCACGCCCGGTGCATCACCCTAATTTGTAAGTAAAGATGATACATTCTTGTCTCAAGACTAGTTGAAGCATGAGCTAGAACCCGAATCCAGCTCTATAATCCATTAAATTAGCTTTGGCAGCTTCAGACTCTTTATTCAGTAAATTGACTGACACATCACCAGGTAAACACCGGCTGTTTTAGGCAGAGCTGTAAACAACAGTAAGACAGGACAGAGCAAATTTAGACCTAGGCTGGAGCCTGGAAAATCAGGTTTTCCTGCTGAGTGCCCAGTGCCCCACCACTTTGAAAGCCCTGCTAATGCTGGTGATCCAAACTCAAGTCCCTGTACTTGTGCAGCAGGCATTTTGCCAACTGAACCATCTTCCCAATCTCCCCAGCCCCATTTATTCTTACATTTACATTTTTTTTCTTTTTTTAGTCTTTTTGAGACAGGGTCTCCCTGTAGCCCCAGCTAGGCTGGAACTTGCTATGTAGACCAGGCTGGCCTCAAACCCACAGAGATTCACCTGCCTTAGCCTGCTGGCATTAAAGACATACACCACCATGACTGGCTCACCTTTACAGCCTTAAAAATATTTTATTTATGGGGACTGGAGAGATGGCTCAGTGGTTAAGAGCACTGACTGCACTCCCAGAGACCGGAGTTCAATTCCCAGCACCCACATGACAGCTACAACCATCTAGAGCCAGTTCCATGGGAATCTGGTGCCCTCTCTGGGCTCTGTGGGCATTGCATGACCTGGGTGCACTTACATTCAGGCAGTACACTCACACACATAAAAAAATAATAATAAATAGGGGCTGGAGAGATGGCTCAGTGGTTGAGAGCACTGACTGCTCTTGCAGAGGACCTAGGTTCAATT